TCCTCGCGCAACAATTACTTACTGGCCATATAGACGGCGTTCCACGCATCTTTCAGCGACGATAAGCTTGCAGATGCCCAATCTCTCAAAATAAGTCGCGGGACCAGTGTAGTACGTGGGCCCTATGCTCCCAGCAAGAGCCAATTTGATGAAAGCTAACATGAACTCACCACTAAGATCTTGCTTCTTGTTTATATCATCTATCTGTTGTTTCAGCTCAAGTCTCATGCCTACATGTATGAATCCACTCCTCAACATATCGTGGATGCCGAGTCGACACCTGGTCCTGCTGCAGCCTGGTTGGATACCTCAAGCAGCTCAGATGACGATAGTTCCTCTAGTTCGGACTCGGATTCGTCCGGACATTCCCGGGACACCATTGGCCGGAAAATGAAGAAGGTCTTACGGAATGGAATACGTCGCAAGTCGTCGCTTGCCTCGATGGACACGGCTGATGCCAGAGCTATGCGAAACGGCTCCGTTGGGACGGGAAACCCAAGCTCCAACGAAGAGTCCATTTCTGAAGCATCGTCGTCTCGCAAGCCATATTTGCCCCGAATGCTCTCGACTGATGACGGTGATTCTACAGATGATGAAAAGACTGGCCGGCATCGAAAGCACCGAATGCGTCGACACTCACGTCGCAAGCATAAGAAGAGAGACCGCAAGAAGCAGGATCATGATTCCAAGGAACAAGCTTCCAGTGTACAACCTGAGAATGGTGTGCTAGCTGGTGGTGAGTCTGAACCACGCCGGGTAGACTTTGCCATTCCCGCCCAACTGGATGCTTCGTCTGGTGCGGCAGCAGAAAGTGGTAATGAGTCCGCCAACACCAAACGCCCGTTTCAAGGTTTCCGTTCACTCTCTGTCAAGAACCTCGCCCCAAGCGTCTTTGTACAGAACCCAAACACGCTGGTTGCCGCCCCTCCCACACCAGCTGGACCTGTCCCTCGCGTTCGATACGGTATTCGCCGCACTAACTCGTTGCCTGACCGCCTTGGCCAACATCAGCAAATTCGCGCGCCTGGTGCTATGTGGCCGGCCCAGATTCCCCTCATGTCTCTCAATACCGCCGCTGCAGCCACTAAGAAACTCAACAACGAGGATGATGACGAGGAGCACTTGACCCGCTGGGCCTCTGTCATACTTCTTCTTGTCAGCACTGGGTTGGTTGCGGTCTGTGCCGAGTTTCTCGTTGACTCTATCAAGGAGGTCACCGAAACCTCGAGTCTTGGAGAAGTCTTTATTGGTCTAATTATCCTCCCCATAGTAGGTAACGCGGCAGAACATGTTACGGCTGTCACGGTGGCGATGAAGAACAAAATGGACCTCGCCATTGGCGTTGCGGTTGGCAGTTCGATTCAGATTGCTCTGTTTGTAACACCCCTGGTGGTCATTTTGGGATGGATCATGGACAAGGAAATGACGTTGTACTTCACCTTGTTTGAAACTGTTTGTCTGTTTGTCTCGGCCTTTATCGTCAATTTTCTGGTCCTGGACGGCCGCAGCAATTACTTGGAAGGCGCACTTTTGTGTGCTGTCTACATCATCATTGCTGTGGTTGCATTTTTCTATCCAGATCCAAAGGACGCAAGTTCATGGGGCAGCTAAGATATGTGGACTGAGACGAACCACCTAGTTTCTTGACCAAAGAGCTTCATGGTGTCACCAGTCAATTGAGGGAAGGGCGAAGACTGGCATGGATGTTGGAGGGGTAGCTGTACGGGAAACCTATTCAGACAAAGTGGATAGATATTAAATAGATTGAACAAAAACGGTCATTTGAAGAACACATAGTCCCTATTCGAAGCTATTCCGACGAAGAGTGTTGATCTGATCATTTAGACTGGTAATGTGGAGGCTCGCAGTTGCGTTAGCTCAAGACTATTGTATTCACAGTTTGTTAACTCAGTGGCCAGTATGGAGTGAGAGAGATGATGCACGCCTGAGGAAATCAATTTTATTTATTATCATTACCATAATCATTTTTCGTCTCGTTCATGTCCAGCCAAACTCGCACTGCCTTGTATCAATAATGCACCAGTCCCTTAATTTGCCGGTGTCTCATACTGCTTGACTTGCTCCTCAGTCCAATTCCAAAATGCCTCGGAGTTGCCATCCTCGGCGGCCTTCTTCAAGTCCCCCCGTATAGTCAGAAATCGACCCCAGGGCCCAACTAGTTCAACAGTGTTAGCATGCGGTCGCGACCATGGTAAATAGTAGCCAGTAGCGAAGCAAAAAAAAAAAGAGAAAAGAAAAAAACTTACTCCAATGACCGGACCGATCCAAGGTGACTATGGGCGACAACCCGGCAAACAGCTCAGTATAGGCGCCGAATTTGGGTGGATGCAGCACAAACGTCTTGAGCACCCTCGACATAAACGCCGTCTGCGTCCTCCACAGCTCCGAGTCCAAATTGCCCGGGTTCAAGGCGATGCTCACCACGCCCTTGTCCCGAAACCGCTTCGCCATCTCCACGGCGTGCAGATAGTTGCCGGCCTTGCTGAGCGCATAGCTGGTGAACTCGGCCTTGTCGAGGCGTCGGCCAATGTCCTTCATGTCGACGCCGCCGCGGGGCACCACGGGTGCTTCGGCGGCGGACGAAGCGACCCAGACGACGCGCACGGTGCCGGGCTCCTCGGCGGCGGCCGTCTCGACAAGGCGCTGCGAGAGGAGCTTGGTGAAGAGGAACGTGCCGAGGTTGTTGACGCCCAACTGCAGTTCGTAGCCTTGTTTCGTGGCGGACCCCTTGGGCGGGTTCATGACGCCGGCGTTGTTGAAGAGCACGTGGAGCTTGGGCTCGCGGTCGAGGAACTGGCGCGCCGAGGAGGCAATGGTGGTCAAGTCGGCGAGGTCGAGGGGCAGGAAGATGAGGTCGCCGGTGGAGGAGGGGAGGGAGGATTTAATTTCCGATATGGCGGAGAGGGTCTTTTCCTGGGAGCGCGCGGCCATGTATATGCGTGCATTTTTGGAGTAGAGGATTCGGGAGAGTTCTTTGCCCACACCCGTGTTGGCGCCCGTGACGATGTATACCTAGTTGTTTTTGTGAGGTTAGGAGAAGAACAGTTTTTGTTTTTTAGACTGTTGGAAAGGGGGATTGAGGGTTCCGGAAATACCTTTTCTTTGAGATCAGGAAGTTCGAATTCTGTAAAGAGTGGTTTGGGGGGGTAGAGTTGCGACAGTTGGTCGATGAGATGCTTGAACATGGTTGTGTTTGTGGAGCGTCTGATTGAATGGATATGAGGTGATGAAATTGTGTGCTGTAGGGAGGGTATCCGGTACAGAGGGGATGAATATGAAGTGGTTGAATTGTATGCTGTAGGGAGTATATTTGGTATGGTTGGTATGGTTGGTGTAACATGTAGGGAGTCAAGGGTGTCTATATTTAACCTGACGGTAGTTGGTGAAGAATGATGCACAGTCCAGACATGAGCAGTTGGGAAAGCACGATGACGCGCAGGAAGCCACCAGCCACAGGAGGCGGCTGCAACGCATTGGGGCAGTCGGTGGCGCTCCTCGACACCTACCCTTGCCCTGCATGTGTCCACTTGCCGAGGCCGCGGGAACTGGATTACGCCATCACCGACGAGTGGTGCCATGTCTGGACCTCTTGCTTGCGACATACGCAGCAAGAGCGAGTCCGAGTGCGATGGGCTTGACGACGCCTCCCACACGGCCATATGTCTTTTCCTTCTGGATTAAGACGCGTGCCGATGACCCTAGGCCTTCAATTTTCGATGCTTGTTCTCCTCCCCCCCTGGGTTGCGACAAGTGGAGCTAATGTTTCGGACAATGGTTGACAAGTGCCGTAGTCCGTGGTCCGTGGTCCGTGGATGCGGATGCGGATGCGGAGCGGTGATCGGATCGGACGAGTGTATCCCGCAAATGACCAAACAAGGAGATTGCCATGTACTACATAAAGGCACGCCAACCATCTCCTGTTCTGTGCAGCGGAGGACGGGGGTGGGCTGCGGACAACCGCCAGGCTCCAACGGCATCTTGGCCGTAGCCGAAAAAGCCGACTGAAATTACGGGTCGCGGCTTTGGAGCTGAAGTGCCCAAAAAAAAAAAACCCGCTGCCGTCGTTGGAATCCGGGGTCCCCGCGATACAAAATGCCATCATTGCCATGGCCCACCCCCCGTCCGGAGCACAGCATCAAACACCATTCGACAAGAGCATCGCATCACCTGCCATGTCTCGGAAAACCGTGCCCATTGTCCACACGCAGCTATGGAAGGATAGACACGTCGACGAGAAATATACGCCCGCCCGACCATCCGTCGCAGCCGCAGCCGAAGCCACGTCCACACGACTCTCATGCGGGTGTCGCACCAACAACGCGGGCCTGGCGGCCTGGTGTGTGCTGCACAGCGAGCAAGTCCACAGCGAGGAGTCGGCGTCGGAGTCAACGTCGTCGGAGTCAACGTCGTCAGAGTCACCGGCCGGCCATGGTGCCCGCGAGGTGCCCAGGATCGAGGCGATCGCGGCAACGGCTTTCCGGGACGACATGTTGCTGCACTCTGAGCTGGGCATAGTTTGTCCGCTTTCACAGGCGTTTGACTGTGTCAGCGTGACGGACAGTGAGCGCGACTATCTGTACCGGAGATTGTGCGAGGGCCTCAAGGGGCAGCACGGGGCGAGCAGACAGAGTCAACTGAGCGAACTGCGGCATCACGGGCAGCTGGATGCGGCGGACGGCGACGAGCGCGAGAAAGAGGAAAAGGACAGGCAGTTCCAGACCTGGGTGTGGCAGGAGTTCGATAAGTGGGTTGAGTTCATGCATCCTGACGGGAGTCGGAGTGCCTGATGATGGAGAATGATGAATTATACAAAATCCGTCTATGATACTCCGTATGCGGCCGCGGCAAGACAAGCACGCCGGGATAATCCTCTCTTGCCTGCACTCTAAGACCTGAGGGAGGTTGTTCGGTTGATCCTAGATTGGCAATCTGGCGGCCGCCCAAATATCTAATCCATTTATCCATCCATCCCTCATATATCATCCGATCCAACCTTGGGGTTGTTTCAGCATTGGCAAGTTTCTGCGCAGCGCCAGCCACATCCGGCGCACCGCCCTTTGCGGCTCTATTAAACTAATCGACTCATATTTGACGACTACTCTATCGCAGTCGCTCCGCTGCGACGGCCTCTCCAGCTTGGCAAGGAACTTGTCTGGTATCCTCGTCGTGTAGACGTAAAGTCTCTTTTCCTCTCTCGTAGGAATCCCCATCAGCGTTACCCTCTGTCCGCCTTCGCCTTCACACTCCCTCTGGCTACCGCCTCGTCGCTGCTGATGCTGTGCTAGCCCAATCAGTATGCCCATGATGTACGGGTCTTCGCACGCCTCTGCTGGCTGAATCAGTTGCAGCTTCCTGGCTCTGCCCCGGCTGTGCCTCTTCCGAAAGATGGATATTGTTTCGAAATTGGCATACGCAACGAGCTGTGCTCCCCCGGAGTTCATCTCGAAGATGTCATCCGGCCGCAAATGGTTCACAGTCTTGTCGCCAAACTGGAACTCGACTTTGGCGGCTTTAAGAATACTGACGTTTCGAGATCGAAATCCATTTGCGCCGGTACCACTGCGCGCCTTCTCATCAGCGCCCGCCGAATAGCCCTGCAACTTGCACCGTTTTGCAACCATCTACATCTCGACCTTGTGCGAACTTACCGAGACGGTACAAAGCCAAACTCGGCAAGAAGAGCCCTCATGGCCAATTTCTGCCTGTCCGCACCCTCTAACAGCAGCCCTCTTGTGGCGACTATTGCATCCGAGCTCGGCCAATGGTGCTCGTCTTCTCTCGGTTGCTCTGCGTCAGCACTCTCGCCGAGCTTGTCACCAAGGCTTTGTTGTGGCTTTGATATTCGCACGTCTACCCTCTCGAATGCCATGTTAAGCAGCCGAACTTGGTCCCCAGTCCACGCGATGGTGGGCACGTACAGTCGCTTCACTCTGTGTTCCCGAAGAATTGCATTCAGCGATCCTGCTTCGGGCTGCCTGCCAGAGCTGTGAATTGGCTGAGGGCTTGCCTCCAGGCGCATCGTTTCGCCATCTGCGACGGCGACAGGCGCCTTTCGCTGTACCCTCGTGCCGCACGGGTTTCTCGCGATACAGTCACCGAAATTGCAATGCTGCGTGGAATCTGGTTGCGGCATCGTCGCAAACATGGTCGTGTCGCCCTCATGCAGCAACGGGTAGACAAAGAGGCCAAAAAAGAATCACCAACTTGCGTACTAGAGATGGCGAGGCTTGCGGGCGTTTGTTCAATGTTGACGTTTCAAACACAAAGGGGGCAGGCAACAGGGACACACCGTCACTTGGTGACATAAGCAACCTGGGACCAGCATTTCGTGGTCATTTGTTGGTCTTGACCCTTGTTCGTACTCGGAGCAGGGACGCATTTCGCAGCAACACCTAAGACAAATATACCCATGCTTGTTTTGAGAGATACGTATGTTATCAGACCAAGGGGGGCCAGAGATGCGTTCTTCAAGGTGCGATTTGCACGGGGCCACAGGGCAACGATTCATAGCTGCACATTGATTATGCGATGGATTCTGACTGATGTGGGCATAGTCTTCCATAGGCCATCTGCTGCTGCAGTAAGACACGGAGTTGGTAGTGAATATAAAAAAAGCAACTTCCAGTCCTGTCACCAATGTTATCGTGTGATTGGCGTGCCATTCTGGCTGCAAAAATAAAGTGTGGTGGGGCATGCATCTACTAGCCGGGTACGGACTAGTATCCGGAGGTGGGTAGCGGGGGCAGGGTTGTGAACTTGTGCGTGTGAGATGAATGGCTTTGTTCGTGCCATGCCATTCTTCACATCATCATTCTGTCAACCGTTCTTATTCCCCTTCCAAACCAAGTTGCGGCCTCCATCGTCGCTACTAGCATCGTCCGCGAGACAATTACTGCTGCCAAGATACAATTTGAACAAAATAATCAGCGGTAGGTAGCTAACCTTCAATCAACGAGAACCCATTCATTGCACGCAAGCAACACAACCACACGTCATGAGTCATGATGTCTGAGCATCACGCTGACAGAACCACCATCATCAGGCACATTTCAATTTTGGTAACACGGCACCATGTGCTCCGGAGGGCCAAATGAAATGAACAATGACCCGGCCCCGAGGCCCGCGCAGAAGCCCCAGCGTCCAGAGCGTGCAAAGACTCCCTCGTGGAATGCCTACCCGTCATCCGCTGCATCATCATCAAAACAGCACACCTACGCACCACCATCCGGACCACCGCCCAGCCAGCAACAATACGCCGCACCACCGGGTCCGCCACCATCCCATCATCAGAATGAATTCGCGCCTCCAGCAGGACCTCCTCCAGACCACAAGCCCGGATACGCACCGCCTCCTTCTAACCAGGACTGGGCAGTCCCTCCTCCCGAGGCCCCTCCGTCCCAGAAAACAGCCGAGCACGACTGGCAAGCCGCAGTGCCCGATACGTCTCTCTTCCCTCCTCCACCGGCCATCTTCAGCGGACACGACTACTCGCCCGCAAATAATGCTACGGAGGAAGAAGCAGAAGCCGGCGAGGCCTGGTGTGCGCAGCACCCTCTCTCTCAGCCCCTGCATCTCGACGCCGCGGCCAAGACGGCCCTCCACGCAAACAACTTCCGCCTCATGGAGCCCGCCGGTTTCAACGGCAAGCTGAACTGGCTGGCACCCGGCCACTGGGAGGCCTCGACAGCAAACAACGCCCCGGACAAATGCATCATCGGCTACCCGCCGATGTACCTCGTCCACGAGCACGACCCCACGCGCCACGGCCGGCCCAAAACCATCTACTACGAGGTCAAGGTCCGCCGCGGCAGCAAGAACAACACCGTAGCCGTAGGCTTCACCGCCCTCCCCTACCCGTCCTTCCGCCTCCCGGGCTGGCACCGCGGCAGCCTGGCCGTCCACTCAGACGACGGCCGCAAGTACATCAACGACCGATGGGGCGGCAAGGACTTCACGCACGCGTTCCGCAAGGGTGAGACGCTGGGGATCGGAATGACCTTTACGCCGACCGGCACGCCGCGCCCCGACGTGTCCGTCTTCTTCACCAGGGACGGCGTCCGCGCCGGCGGCTGGGACCTGCACGAGGAGACGGACGCCGAGCAGGACTTGCCCGTGACGGGGTTGGAAGGCTTCCACGACTTGACCTGCGCCATTGGCGTCTTTGACAGCGCCGACATCGAGGTCGTCTTTGATCCTGCCAAGTGGAAGTATAAGCCTACGTAGGCACTGGCGCTCGGCGGCTTTACTTGTTTATTCTCTCTCCTTTTTTGCCCGCAAGAGAGTTATGTTGTGTCAAGTCTTTTTGAACCAGGCACTTGGAATGTTCAAAGCATTGTTTTTTTACATCCTTGCTGGTGCTTTGTATTATCCTGCTTGATCAGGATACGCCGTCATTTCTGTGGAAAGAGCGACTCGAGTCGTTGGCCCTTACAGCGCTGGCCAAATAATGCCAATGCATGATTTTGAAACCCTCGTCCCAAATTGAATTGCGCTACGCTTGGTATGCGATACAGGTGCTGCCGCAAATGCAGAATAGAATTGGGACCACCATTACTATGCCTTTAGTTAGATATTCTAGGTCTCAAGTCTTGCAGACAAGACTCGCTTTTAATGTAGTCAGTCCTCTTTGTTTACACCTGCACTGCTTGTGCCCTGTGCATATGCCACCATAGGTTGTATATTTACGACTTCGCGAACCATCTCCCGACCTACAGCAATCCCGTACCACGTCCTCGCCCTAACCAGTCCATCAAAACGCCTAGTACGCCCAGCTTTACTCATGAAATGTACATGTTACATAGGCCCCTCCTCCTTGAAATGTAGGGCCAGTCATTTAAAAGATCTTGGTAATGCTCTCCCTGACAATCACGCTATTCTGAGTCGCGTCCCTCTTGACACGGAAAAAGCTGTCGCAGAAATCACTACATCGCATATGTCTCAAAAAGTCCTCGTCGTGCGTAATCACAATGAGTTGGAAGTTACTCTGCGCCTGCCTCGTCTTGATAATCATGTGAAGAGACTCCGCCAAGCTCTTGATGTTGTCGCGGTCCAAATTTGTAGTCGGCTCATCAAGGGCAATCAGCCCGCAGTTTACGCCAAAGGACTCTGCCAGGGCGAGGCGGATGATGATGCTCGCGAGGACCTTTTGGCCGGCCGAGCAGCGGCCGCGCATGTCCATTTCCGTGTCTTGCTTGACCATGCAGAGACGGTAGTTGTAGTTGCGCTTGCCCGAGTTGGACTCGTTGTCGGAGCGAATGAGGATCGTGTCAATGTCTGTGCCTTGGTAGGTGGACTGCCAGAGTTCGCCTGCAATGCGGTTGACTTCTGCCATCTTCATCGAGTGGAATTGCATGACGGCTTTGTCGACGGCTGCTCCGCACTGGGCTAGATCTTCAATGGCGGCTTTGGTGGTTTCGACACGGATATGGGACTCGCGGTATTTCTGTTTGGCTCCCTTGTAGTCCATTTCCCACTCTTGTAATAGCCTGCCTAGCTCTTCATCCTTGGTCTTCATAGTGCCCATGACGGATCCTCGTTCGGCAAGAAGCCGGTTGGATTGGTTCTCGAGGCTGCGTGCCTCGCTCTGCAGGCGTTCGTAATCTTCATGAGCGTTGCGATCCTCGAGTTCTTCAATCTCTCCTCGGAGAACTTCTAATTGTCGCAGATGTTTCCGGTAGTGGAGATTGTCGCTGATATTCTTCTTCATACGGTCACCGCTGTCAATGTCTTGCTTCAACTTGTTTGCTCGAACAGTGAGGTCCGCAATGTCCTTTTCAGTGTTGCTAATGGATTTCTCCAAAGCCGCTATCGCCCGCAGATTGGATGCCAAGTTTGACGGTCCGCCTCGATCGATGTAGTCCTGTATATCATTATCAAGCATTTTTATTTCGCTGACAGAGTTGGCAATCCCGTCCCGTTCGTCGACAATCACTTGCTCCTTGGCACGGCCTCGTTGAAGGGTGTCATCACGAGCGGATCGAGCATCGACGATGCTAGGTTCTACCTTCTCAAGCTCCTCGTCGGCCCGTTGGATAGTCTCCCGCTGATGAGTCATGTCGTCTCTGAGGGCCTGTATTTGATTTTGGATATCATTCTTCTTGTCTAATTGGCCAACCGCCTTGCCAATCTTGTTCCTCAGTTCGCTTCTTTCCAGCTCCAAGGAGCCTAGTTGGTCCTTCATGCGCTGTCTATCCGTAGTCAGTTTAGCCACCCGGTTTTTCAATCCCCTCATTTGCTCTCCAATACTAGCCTGCAGCTCATGAATCTCATCAGCGCTTCGAGTGGTACCACCAGACAACTGTTGTGACATGATGCGGTCCACCTGACTTTCGGAGTCTTGAATATCTTTCATGAGCTGGGAGATACCTGAAACAGTCTTGGACAAGTCATCCAAGTCGCGCACTCGGCCGTCCTCGCCAGCAACTCTAGACTCGTGTTCTTCTAATTGCCGTTCGAGGACGTCGTATTCGCTCTCAATCGCTTTGCACTCGTCACGTATAGACGGAAGCTCTGCAGTCAGGCGCTGGTATGTGTCGTAGCTAGATCGAACTTTACGCAGTGATTCCAGGCCAGCCATGGCCTCTTTCAGGTCCTTCTCCACGTCGACCTTGCCCTTTGGGTCAAGGTTCTTTTCGATCTTTTTGCTAAGACGATCCAAACTAGCGCTTTGACCGTCGTCGAAATGTCGTTCGCAGAGCAGGCAGCGCTTCTTCGACTCTAGCATTCGCTTGCACTTGTTGTAGTAGTCTACAAGTGCATCAAAAAGACTCAACTCGTTGCGATAGTCTTCGACCTGTTGTTCTACCGAGCCAACCTCTTCCTTGTAGTCATCAATGACTGCGCCATCTCGGACCTCGTGGAGTGCAGTCAAAACTTGTTTCTTACACGTTTCAGCCTCTCGGGACTTGGACTCTTGGGACTCCCTGGCATTTTTGAGCCTGTATTCAATTTTCTGTTGTTTCTGCTTGGTCTGCTCTAGACTTCGGCGAGCGTCTTGCAGTGCCTTATTTTGCTGGGTGAGAGCAGTGTGAAATTTTGTTTCCAGTGTGTCAAGGTCCCAATCACCGCCAATTGCCGCGGCAAGCTTAGACTTCCATGTATTAGTCAGGGTCTCGAGTTTCCGTTTTCTGTCTGTGACCTCCTTCT